GCGTCGCTCAGCATCAGCAGGGTGAAGTGAAGTGGGCTGTTGATGTGCGGGTGGATGCCTTGAACGGGGTGCTGTCCGGACTGAAGCCCTAAACCCGTAAAGCCCCATTAAATCCCTATAGGGCGGGACAGTCATCAGGATAACAACAATGTGACATGGCCGCGATGCTGACTCTCGACGGTTTAAGGCTAGGGTTTAGGGTTTAGGGTTTAGGGTTTAGGGTTTAGGGTTTAGGGTTTAGGGTTTAGGGTTTAGGGTTTAGGGTTTAGGGTTTAGGTTTTATGGTTTAGGGTTTAGGGTTTAGGGTTTAGGGTTTAGGGTTTAGGGTTTAGGGTTTAGGGTTTAGGGTTTAGGGTTTAGGGTTTAGGGTTTAGGGTTTAGGGTTTAGGGTTTAGGGTTTAGGGTATCTGAGGGGTTTACCTCTAGCAACATCGCAGATGAGACCCAAAGCAACTGCCATTCAGAGCGAGAGTCCACTTTTCAAAGACCTTGGACTTGGGACCTCTGTGCTGACCTATATATACACCCGTCAGCGTCTTCACAAAAATCTGCATCGCAACTGCAAGCTTCGAATTGACTTTGGATATGGTCGTGGTCTCACTTGAGCAAATGCTTTCAATCATGTGTGGTGCCTGAGGCTGCCTATCGGCTAACATTTCCCAGATGGATGACATGATGCTTTCCAAACTGAACTTTCATGAAGCAGCTGTAGCAATGCTTCTTGAGATCTCTTGATTTCAGACAGAGTTCAGTCCTATGAGGGACATGTTCATCTATCTTGGCGTGCTGGACAGACATGCGACGGGAAACAATCGTGCGCCTTGCCCAAGGGAGGCCTCCCAGACAGCGAAGGCTGTCTCCCAGGCGCTTGAATTCCTCAGGAGCCGGTCTTTTCATAGCAGCTGCTACACGAGTTTCCCCACTCACCCGTTGGAAGCAGCGGTGTTTTCTGCATGCTTGCTGATTGTGGCCTAATACTACGCGGGCACGTAGCACCCAACAGTGCGCGCATGGCAGTGCCTAAAAACATAGGCAACAAGTGAAACGCTGGAGCTCCTGAAGGCAACAAGACGCGCCAGCATAGCGTCAAAAACCCAAAACCACATGCCCTAAGCTCATCCTAACATGCTGGAAGCTTCCAACATCCTGCCTCGCAGCTTCATGGGTAGCTATAACTGGGGCTATCAGTAGGGCACCTACTTGCAGCACTAAACCCTAACGCCTCCCTGTGAACAACCCATCCCCAAGAATATGAGAAGGCCTGAGTTCCAGCATCAAGCGATGGGCAAAGTCAGGTATCAGTGAGGTATTCAAACAGGGTTTAGGGTTTAGGGTTGCGAGTTTAGGATATACAGAAGGTTTAGGGTTTTGTGTTTTTAGAATTTAATATCGCAAATCCAAACTCTCACACCACAGACTGGTTGCCTGCATTGCACAAAAGGGTGCTCCGTTAAAGGGTGTTGGGGGATTTCTCAGGTGCGAGGGGGGGATGTGGTGTACAACCCTAACCCTTAAGCCAACTTCTATAGCGATCCAGCCAGGAAGCGCGCACGCGAGGACGGCGGAGCTGTAGCTGACTTCGTCAGCCATCAAACTCAGAGTCGATATCTCCTGAGCCAAACTTGCAGTCCCACTGAACTCTCAACACTAGACCCTGAACACTAAAACCAATCTGGGTAGTTCGGAATTCCCCAAGCAGGGATCCCCTAATATGGTTTGGAAGGACTACAAACCTGAATTGAACTCGAAGCCTGCACGCGCCCTACACCCTAAAACCCAACAATTGGGCTTAGGCGGGACGTTTGGGTTTCGGCATTTGAGGTTTGGAACTTCGGGCTTGATTAGGGGGGGGTTGGGTTCTATCTGACGCCGAACAGCTGTGAAACGCTTGACACCCAGCGTCAATTGAACTACTCCTGAGACTTGATCCCGAAGTCAGGGAGGTGTTTCATTTTCCGCAAGCGTTTTTCCTAGTCCTTCATGTCTTGTTAAGTTGACGTCCCTGAAAACACAACCACGGTAGCCGATGGTTGCAGGGGCCTTAGGGCTGTTTCGAGTTTGCTCATTAGGGACTGAGGCCGCCTAAGTAGTGCTTGGCTCTCACGCATAGGTCAAGACACTTCAAGCAGGCGAAGGGCAAGTTCCCATTGCAGGCCCTTCCTTGGCAGCTTGGGGGCTTCGTGGGGGTTTCCGAAACTGGGGTACCTGTTTGGGGTCCATGTTGTAAGGGAATCCTACTATTTGGGAATCGATATTGGGGGTCCCCTGTTTTCATAAAACCCCCCATGCAGGGCTTGGAGGCTTGCAGATACATGCCATGGGCCTAGTATCCTCACGAAGCTCCAGGAGCACGCAAACTCCAAGAGAACAAAGGCCTCCAAACCCCGAGTGAGGCTCAGCCCGAGCTTCTCGCATGCGCTGATGCAGGAATTGCAGGTGACCACAGTGGGGCGCAGGCCTCAGGGCAGAAAATCAGCGGTTGAGGTTTCAAGGCTTATGGGGCGCATGGGTTCTCGGCCGTCAGAGATTGCGTAGTTACTCGCTCAAAACCCTTGTAGCCTAAACCCTGCCATACACTTTCATCCCAGGGCTGTAAATGGTGCAGCTAGAGCTGAAGAAAAAACAGTGACCCGAATAAACGCCGACCTGAAAAGTGTAGGCAGAAGCCAACGAATACGGGTAAAGCAGTCCATGACTCCAGGCCTTTCCTAAACCCTAAACCCTAAACCCTAAACCCTAAACCCTAAACCCTAAACCCTAAAAACCCTAAACCCTAAACCCTAAGCTCATTACGTGCTTCCGTCCGGGTGGCTCCGCTGCGGCAGCAGTTCCTTGCCATGGTTGGGCTCTTGGAGGGTTTAGGGTTTAGGGTTTGGGGCTTAGGGCTTAGGGTTTCGGGCTTGGGGCTTGGGGCTGAGGGTTTAGGGTTTAGGCTTTAGGGCTTAGGGCTTAGGGCTCAGGGCTTAGGGCTTAGGGTTTAGGGTTTAGGGTTTAAGGCTTAGGGTTTAGGGCTTAGGGCTTAGGGCTTAGGGTTTAGGGTTTAGGGGTTAGGGGTTAGGGTTTAGGGTTTCGGGAGGGTCCAGGGCTCACAGGGTTTCCTCTTGCCAATGCCCCACCCCAACCCCCTCCACCTAGTAGGGCAACTAGTCCCGAAAGCGTTCGCATCGCCCCAAACATCCCGAAACCCTAAACCCTAAACCCTAAACACTCCTACACCCTAAATCCTAAATCGTGTAAACCCTCACAAGGCAACATGCGAAGTGTCGTAGACTGCCAAGGCCGTCTCCCACTCCCCAGCCACTTCGCAGGCAGAGATGGCAGCGTTGTGCGAAACCACCTCATAGTCTTGGGGCTTTTGGAGGGCCTGATGGGTTCAGCAGATATGGGTTTTGGGTTTTGGGGGGGGAGCTGTTAACTCTTGGGGCTGTTAGGGTTGTGACAAGGCTTACAGGGCTCATCAGGCTGTACAGGGCGTTTAGGGTTGTGTAAGTCTGACGCAAGGGAGTACCCTACGAAGTTCCTTGAAACAGGGTTCCAGAAGTTACCCACTCGAAGGAAAGGTTGGTGACGCCTTTTTGCACCCCTAGGTACCTAGATGCATTGGAATCCCTACGGACCCCAGCTTCTTGGTAGGGTGTAGGGTTTAGGGTTAGGGCTTAAGGGTTTAGGGTTTCGGGTTTAGCAAATAACTGGCTGTAGTGGGATACCAGAGGGTTTATGGGGACCCTGGTTGTCCCCTTACACAGGGGAGGGGGGAAATCGAGAGTCATCCACCAAGCACAGCCTAGCCAAGTAAGCCTTAAGCCATGGAGTGCAATCCAGGCGGCATCTGGAGAAACATCCCACCCCCTCATGCTCTCCAGCATGGACAGCGACAGCGCCCACTGCTCCCCTTGGGTTTGGAGTGACGCCCCGGAAAAACCCCAAACCCCAAATCCTAAGCCCGAAAGGACAGGTTCGATTGAGCAAAAATACATAGTACAGCCTCACCCCTTTGGTCGAGAAATTCGGTTTGGGCGTCTGGGCTCAAGTCATGGCATCAGGGCTTCGGGGTCACCCGAAACCCTAAACCTAAACCCTGAACTCCAGCAAAAAACCAAACCCCAAAAAATCCCAAACCCGAAACCGAAAGCCCTAAACCTCAAACCTGAAGCCCCAAAGCCTAAAAACCCTAAACCCCAAACCTTAAGCCCGAATCCCAAACCCCAGGCCCAAAACCCCAAACTCTCAAAACCTGAACCCCAAAACCCTTCAAGGGCCCCTCCGTGGCTTCCGCGCGTCCCTTCTCGCACGCGCTGATCGTGGCGTTGAAGGAGATGACCGTGGGCTGGACGTGGGCCGAGATCATCCTAATGGGCGGTTTGGGGTTGAGGGTTTAGGGCGTTTGGGAATTCCGGGTTCTGAAGCATACCCTTTCTTGGGTACCCAAACAGACAAGGATCCAGAAAAGAGCAGGAGCCCCCAAAAAGTGACCGTCAGTTCGAAAACCGTACGCGAGCGGGGCTGCAAAGCGGCAAGACTGCTTTCTTCATCAGCCCTTCCCTTCCCCCTAAACCCTAAACCCTAAACCCTAAACCCTAAACCCTAAACCCTAAACCCTAAACCTTACTCAGAAGCCACAAGCTGACAGGTTTCGGGTGCGAGTACGATGCAGAAGTAACCTGATTGTCCGATGTCTGAACTGCTGAAGCTATGGAACTTGTCCACACGAGTAGTAGAATGCCGCCAGAGGCTCTGAAACAGCATTCCCGCTGCCAGCTGCCATTGGATGCCTCTCACGCGCCCTGAACCCTGAACCCTGAACCCTGAACCCTGAACCCTAGGCCCGAAACCTTATACCCAGATTCGTTGATGATTTTGGAGTGTAGAGGTTCGAGCTGTGGAAGCTCACGGTACTCCTGTCACAGACAGCAGGTCCGAGCTCTGCACTGTAGATCTTACCAGTGCTTGTCACACAGGTCTTCAGTGCCCTCACGCGTATAGGGTTTAGGGTTTAGGGTTTAGGGCCGAGGGTTTCGGGTATGGCCTTTTTCACAGGCACTGATGACGGAGTTGAAGGAGATGGCATCGGGCTGCAAGTGATGCTGCCGCAGCGTCCAGAAGACATCCTTGGTTGGCCATGTATTCCTCTAGGCAAGATTTTCGGGTTTAGGGTTTAGGGTTTAGGGGTTAGGGTTTAGGGTTTAGGGTTTCGAGTTTCTAACCAAGGTGCTCTGAAACCCAATAGTTATAGTTGGCAAACATATCAACATTGCTAAGGGCCTGCCGGGCATCCAAGGCAAGTGCCCACTGGCTTCCCTGTTGCAGGGCAGGGCAGCATGTAGGATTTTACGATGATTTAGAATTCAGAAGTTTTTGAGGGTTTAAGTTTGTTAGCGGGTCCTGGGGTACCATGCCCCGATAGACACGCAAAAAAGGGGACCCAAATTAGAGAACCTTTAATGGCAGGTTCACATCATGTTCATGCTCCTTGTCTTGAGGCGTGTCTGCCAAGCACGTGTTCAGCAAAGACGACGCTTGCTGTTAGTGCAGCTTGCAAACTAATAGCGATTTATGAGGCAGTCGGCAGTCTGTGAAATTTGTGGAATTGAGCAGACATCCTGAGTGCGCGGGAGCAGTCCTCATGAGCGTGATGGGTGCTCGCTTCGAGGCTCAAGTTTGTACATAATAATGCGAGTGCTACAAACAGCCTGCTTCTGTTTAAGTGTGGAACGCTGCCAGAAAGAAAGTTTTGACCCGCCCGACCCACCCGGGGATTGATGAGGGGAGCACGGTGGCAAAGCCAAGGTGCTATTGGCATGCGCCACACAAGATGTGAACCCCAGCTTGCGAATGCGAAAGAAAAAATGAAGGATTGAGCGCTGCGTTGCCATGTTTCCAGAAGTCACCAACATGTCATGTGCTCTCTACGTGTGCGTAGTATTTGAACTCCAATCAGGTTCGTTGTAGGCTGCGGGAGCACGAGGGACCGACGAAATCATAAACCCGGCACCCGAGGGCACGACCTTCCTCAGAAGCCCTAACACCCGCGATCTGAACCGCGGATTTAGGGCCGATAGTGAATTGCAAGATCGAAGCTCTTGGACGACCTTAGTTTGAGAAATATAGGTTCCCTTTCTGTTGGTACCCTTTACAACTTGCAAGTGAAACTCTTCTTATGAAGAAGGACACAGGCACACGGCACCTTTAAGTTAGACCACGTGCCACATGGCTCTACACTTGAGGACTCGGGAGCTACCCTTGCTGCGGTTTAGGGTTTAGCCAGGAAGCACTCCCCCCGGTTTACTCGGTTGATCTGGCGACACTGTATCAAACGTGCTCTAGATGGGCATCAAACATGCTCTGGATGGGCACTTCTCAAATAAGAAACCCCTTCCCCCCCCGGCAATCAAACTCCAAGATCTGGTTTAATCCTTCGGAGTTTTGGGTCTTCGGGGTTAGGCCCAACCAGGGTTTAGGGCCATTAAGGTTTGGGGTCACCAGACCCCCCAAACCCTACATCCTAAAACTTCGAAATTCGAAATCCTAGCGGAGTGACCCTCATAAGCACTAAACTCTGCCCACCAAAACCCCAAATCCTAAACCTCGAAACCTCGACAGTCCTCACCCCCCCTACAGGCCCCTCCCCCCCCCCCCCCCCACAAAAAAAAAAAATGAACCCCCTAAAGCCCTAAACGCTCAACCCCAAACCCCATAACCCCAAACCCTAACCTCCCTAAAGCCCAACCCAAACCCCCAAACCCCTAAACCCTAGACCCTAAACCCTAAATCCTAAACCCCCAAACCCTATACCCAAGACCCTAGACCCTGAACCCTAAACCCCACAAGTTGAAGCCATGCCTTCTCCAACGTGCTGAGAAGGGCGTTCTGCCCGGTGAGGTCGGTACGAAGCAGCCGCCGTGCCATGTGCTGCCTCGGCTGCCGGGTTTAGGGTTTAGGGTTTAGGGTTTAGGGTTTAGGGTTTAGGGTTTAGGGTTTAGGGGGTTCTTGTTACGTAACTCTTAAAACTGAGTTGCCATGATGGAGTTACAGACAAGGGATTCCCGATTTGTGTCGTGGTGGTTTCCAAGTAGTTTCGAGGTTGAGGGTTTCAGGGTCTGGGGTTTCGGGTTGAACCCTAAACCCTACAGAATCCTACAGCTGAGGTGTGGCGGTTCGGACTTTGAGATGAGCACGCAGGTATCACAAAGGAGCGATCACGCCCGCGGGATAACGCCCGCAGGATAACGCGCAGGCCCTAAACCCTAAACATAATCCCTACTTGGAGGTTCATGGGTACTTGCAAGTAGGGTTAGAAGTACGGGTATCAGGGCACTTGTAACCCTACTTACAGGCACATGTGAACCTCCGGTGCAACCCTAAGCCATAAGCTGTCTCATGCAAAGTCTCCGGTCTTTTTGTTCGCACGCACGTAGCACATGCCCTGGTGTGAGGTCTTAGAGAGGAGTTGGGTCCAAAAGACAAGGGCGCAATGAATCTCGTGAAGGGTCGCAGAAGCTTGCAAACAGATACTTTGCAGGCTCGAACCATATGTCCAACCTAAGTCGAGCAGCAGCAACAGCAGGGAGCGCGGCCAGTAATCGCAGGCGCTGAGGGTGGCGTTCCAGCACACCGTGCTTCGGCGCCTCAGACGACAATGTAAGTGGGGCCATTTTAAGTCGGGGGAAGTCTATCCAAATTGCCTTCCAAGCCCCGGCTGTGCAACCTTGTCAACCCTTGTCACGCGGCCTTGTTCAGCCCAAATACTTACGCCGGCCTTGTCGCAGAGAGGAGGGCGTCGCAGAATCGACCCTTTTGTTTCAAGCCGCTTTTTGCGCTGGGAAGCCTCTTTTGTCGAAGCCATGATATACTTGGCTCTATCAAACTGGGGTAGGTATTTTGAGTAGCGAATGAAAGCCTATATTGGAAAGTCCATAGGGAATCCAGTGACACTGAACAGAAGTAAGTTAGCTGGGTTGGCCTTTAAACCCTTTGAACAAACAGATATGTATATATATATATCCTTATGAACAAAATCAGGAAAATATGAATATCCCAAAAGCCAACGTTCAGCCTTTAAGAGTTTGCGGTATCCGCATGCCCAGGGACATTTTGGGCCGAGGGGCGCCACCTCACTTTCACTGAGTGCCAGCAAAGCCAGCTGCCAACGCCGGCCCTGGCCGCAGGCGGTGATGAACGCCTTTGCCGCGCTTAGGGCTTCAGGGCCACTGTTTGAGGGTTTCGGGTTTAGGGTTTAGGGCTACTCAGGATTCAGGGTTTATTCCTGATTTGTAGAGGCCTCCTGCTACAAGCCCGCTGTCCCAGTTGCGCTTTTTCCCCCGCGATTTGTTGGTGCTTTTGTCGAGGGTGGTGTATAAACAAGTTCCGGGACTTGGTTTGGCTTTTTGCTTGTTTAGTTACTTCCGTGAAGTATGCATGGCAAGTAAACATTCAACCTTCGCAAAAACTCCAAAAGCTTGTGAAGTATAATCGTCAAGAGACGGCAAACCCTAAGCTTTGTCCCTAACCCCTAAGCTCTTCATCCTAAAGCTGCCCTGAACCCTAAAACCCTAAACCCTAAACCCTAAACCCTAAACCCCCCCCCCCTCCCCAAAAAAAGCCCCCCCAAGGTGCGACCCCCTGAGGCAGCTGAGGAGCGCTGCAAGTGATGGCATGCTCCGGCTCCGGACAGAGCGCCAGAGCCTCTGCTGAGCTGAAAGGTTTAGGGCTTAGGGTTTAGGGTTTAGGGTTTAGGGTTTGGGGTTTGGGGTTTGGGGTTTGGGGTTTAGGGTTTAGGGTTTACGGTTTAGGGTTTAGGGCTGGACTGCTTCGGGGCTCGGCGCCCATTAGGGATATTCAGTGTAGGGCCTAGGGCAGTTTAGGGGCTTAAGATTTCAGATCTTGGTCTGAAGGGGCCCCCCGAACTCTATCGTAGAAATGCCAAAGCCTTCATCCATCCTGATGCGCGCCCTTGCTCGGAAAAGTTAGCTCCTCTCAGCTTTTCGCATCCTAGACTCAGAGCAACCCGAAAACCGCGAGTCATGATACTCTTGTAAGGTAGCTCAGCTCTTGAGGGGATGCGCTCCGCCCGGCAGATTGCTCATATGAAGCCCTGGCTGAAACCAGCCAAACTGTTGACGCACATATCTGGGACAAGAGCACTGAACTACCTGAGATACCCCATGTCTTGCTTCCATACATGCTTTCGCCTTCGGAGATGCAAAGTGCCAAGTGCTCACAGACACGAACCAATCGATGACGGGCAGCCGTCTCCCAGCGTTTTGCTTGGGCGCATGCCTTGGGTGTAGGGTCTCGGAGTGGGAAATGGCCTAGAGACCATGTTTGATACTCAAGCTTTAGGGAAAAGAGAAGATGAGAGAGGCCGAGCGGGAGAGAGCGAGAGCGGGAGAGAGCGAGAGCGAGAGCCAAAGAGCGAGAGAGAGAGAGGGAGAGGGAGAGGGGGAGGGAGAGTCTGAGACTGAGGCCGAGGCTGAGACTGATACACAGACAGATGGCGCACAAACATGTGTATATACATGTATATAGGTTATCAGCATGGCTACATGTGTACATAAGCCGCAGATTAATATTGATCCACCTCCCCCGCCTCCAGGTATACAGGATTTGTGCGGAGACTTGGGAGATGAAGGAGGCGGCTTGAGATTGCTTGAGATTCAACTTCAGGGCCCCTTTGGGTTCTCGGCCTTTCGGGTCTTACGCTCCTGAGGTTGAGGGAAGCCCCCGCAGGGTGAAGAACTGTCGCTTTATTGAGAACCGTTCTTCATATGTGCAGCGAAGCAACACTCATGGCCAAAGCCTTCGACACATGATCCTGCAGCACGGTGCCCTAAACCCTAAAACCCCCATAGGAAGACAGGGTGAAAGTTTCAGAGGCCCCCAAAACAAACGCGTTCGGGGTTTAGGGTTTAGGGTTTAGGGTTCAGGGTTCAGGGTTTACGGATCGGTTAGGAGCGCTGGGGCAAGTAGGGGCTTGACGGTACGGCATCTCTTCTTTAAGGACAGCTTCAGAGAAGGAATGTTCAGGTGGGCTACCTGATGTAAGGCTTCTGAAGGACTAGATAAGACCACAGAGGGCTATTTACGGGGTAGATGAGGGGAATCTACCCACCTGAAATGGGCCTAGATCTTAGTCTGGGCCAAATCCAACTTAAAAACAGCACCCCAGACCAGTCCCTCAATGCCCAGATGCTTTGAACAGACTCGAAGTACCTTGCCACCTGACAATCCTTACAGCCCCGACGCAAGCCCTATTGAGTCTCCGTTTATCATATGACTGTCTGTATACATATGTCATATGTATGCATACACACCCAAATCCTCAAACTCGAAAACCTACCCACCCACCCACCGACCCAAAACTCCAAACCCGAAAACCTCTCCCCCTCCCCTCCCCCCGCAAAGGAACAAAAAACTGAAAGCTACACCCCCTCCCCACCCCCCCCCCCCCCAGAAAAAAATGAAAAAGAGGATCAGCCCCAAGCCTGCGCCACTCGCGACCCCGCCATGGCTGCGAGCACTTGGAGCCCCGCCTCCCACTGCGCCGCAGAGCCCTGAGCGGAGAACACTGTGGTGGCTTTGGGGGGGGGGGGGGGAGGTGCTGGGTTACAGGGTTTAGGTTGATATGTTCCCCCTGTACTAAGAGTCCTTAGTGGGCATGGCAATAGGGGGCACTATAATTCCTGACTGTGAGTATAAGGGGAACATCCCTAGGTTTAGGGTTTGAGTTTTAGGGTTTGGGGCTCCAGTGCAGATGGCTTGATGCAAAATAGGAGACTCTAAACAGCGAGGAATGCCCTGTCATGAGGAGGAAATGGAGTGACATCATCTGCCTTCCAAGCTTCACACGCTCCCAGCACCGCGTTGAAAGCGACCACATCGGGTGAGATCCTGGGTGGCAACACAGGAAAAGTCGCTAAACCAACACAACTCAGAACCATAAACTTTTCAAACCCATAAACTTTTCAAACCCAAACCCCGAACCCTGAACCCTGAAACCCTTAAAACCTGCAGTCAACCATCGTCAACCCCAAATCCCAAACCCGTGTCGCCCGAACCTCATCTCGAGCCCTTAACTTGTCAACTGCCCTATGCAAGGGCGGCTCCACACCTCATCGTGTTTAGAGACTTGTGTTTGCGCAAGATTTTCCCCAAGTCTCATGACACCCACTAACCGCTACAGAGTCCGATGAAGAGATTCCTTGGCCTCTTCACCATCTAAACTCTAGGGGTTTGGGTTCAGGATTTGCGGCTTCGGACTCCAACAAGACCCTAAACCCGGACAATGCTTGAAATCATTGCCTGCCCAGGCGCCGCTTCCACTTCCTGAGCTTCAGAGAAGGCCGCGCTCATCAAAGACCCTCAACCCTCAGCAGGGTGTATAAGGGTTCCCCAATGAAGCGCCCATATCAAGGGAACATCTTATTCAGCCCGACTTCAACCCCAAACCCTATCCAGGGCCCTGGGGCTCCACAGTTAGGGTTGCGGCGCTTTGGGAACCCGCAGTCCTGGGTTCAAGAAGGCCCCACCTCAGGGGCCTCAGGGGCCTTAGGGTTCTAGGGTTTAGGGCTGAGGGCTTTTGCAGGGAAATTTAAATGTTCGCCTGCTTGTGAGATGACGCATTTTGGGGATTCTGCTCTCTAAACCTGGCCCGGGGCTGACACGATTGTGTCTTTCAACCAACCAACCAACCAACCAAACAAACAATTAATTGGGTTTAAGGTTTTGGGTTTAGCGACCTGCTGACCCAGTCGAGTACTAAGACCAAATTTGATTGGCTTCGGGCGTGGGCTTAGGGATGTCGAAACGAGTGACAACAGGTCATGCCGCAGGAGATCTGCCGGAATATAGGGGTTGCGGTTTAGGACTTCGGGTTGGGGCTTAGGTTAGGGTCCAGGGTTTGAGCTTATGGCTTATGATGCTTCAGAACCAGTCGAATGCCCACCGACTTGCACGCCGAAGGTCATGTCTACCAGCAGCTGGACGGCAACAGACCAGTGAGCCTGCGTCTCGGCGGGATTTGGGGTTTAAGAGTTCAAGATTGGCTCGGAAGAACTGGGATCCCCTTCAGGTATTCTGTATTCCGTCCTTGCATCTCCTACGTGCGTCCACTTCACTTTTCGTCACTCGCGTAGATGAGAACCTAAGGGTGCCCCAAACTTTGAGCCCTAAACCCTACTGCAAACCCTGAGCACATGCTGTAGGCCCTAACGACGCCTAAAGCCTAATTAAACCACTACACCCCTAAACTCCTAGAACCCTCAGCCCCAAACCCTTAAAAACCTAAACCCCTAGGGTCCAGGGTTTCGGGTCCTAAACCCCTAGAACCTGCCTCCAAAGACCGCAGGGCGGCCGCGTAAGCAATCACGTTGCCCGCGGCTGCCGGCCTGGGAAAACCCAAGCAGATCTTTGCTTTCAGGATTACACTTCGGCCCTGAACCCTAAGTGTGCGAAAGCCCTAAATGATAAACCCTATAAGCATACGGATGCCAAAATCTCTAAGAAAAACCCGAAACCTAAGCATGGTCTCAGCCAAAAGAATACGAAAGCCCCGGTATAGAGGGTTGAAGGGCTCAAGGTTTTTTGTCTGAACGGGGGACAGTGGACGTAGTAGATACTGTATATTGTGATTTGAAGGTTTAGGGCTTTGGAGGCTTTAGTATGTTGGACCGTCGGGTGCTTGGATATTCTTGGGTTTGGCTTTCGAACGTCCTAGGGAATTCAGGGGGATTGGGATGCTTTCGTCAACCCCGGAGCGACGACCAACACCCACAAAACCCTGTTGGGACTTTCCAAGGAAGTCATTCGCATGGCAAGGGTAGTTGTATGTTAAAAACCCTGCGACAAAGCTATGTCTTGGTGTTCTTGAAGTACCCTAAGCCCTGCGATCCAAAGGTACCTTCAAGTGCACCCTAGGCCCTCGCCCTAAAGCTCTACATAGAGCAAAGTAAATATATTGTAGACTTTAGACCCTAAATCGACCCTAGACCCTAACTAAACCCTACTTGAACCCTGAACCCTGAACCTTAAACCCCACACCCTGAACCCTGAACCCCGAAGTACCTACATCCCAAAACCCACACCCCCCAAGGTAGTGTTATTCTGGAGCCCCAAGGGAACCCTAAACCCTAAACCCTAAACCGCAAACCCTAAGCCCTAAGCCCTAAGGCCGTGCCCCGCTTAAGCAGCCGGGCCGCGAGCTTTGAGCCAGCATGCGGTCTAACAGCCTCAGGGCTTTCTGCTTCGCTAGGGCTTTGAGGGCGTTGTAGGCCTTAGGCCTTAGGGCTTTCGGGATTCTAGGCTTTAAGAGGCACTAGGCCACAGGGCTTTCGGGATTTTAGGGTTTTAAGAGGCATTAGGCCAAAGGGCTTTCGGGATTTTAGGGTTTTTGGGTTTGTAGGGCTTTGGCATTTAGGCTGGAGGAGGTTGCAGCACCCTAACTCCGAATGTAAACTCACAAACAAAGGCTGATTATAACCCAAGTGCTCATGCTAATAACTGCAGGGGCCTGAAACGTCGGATCTGCCTCAAGAACCCCAACACGTCCTACGAAGGCAACTATGTGCGCAATGCTTGCGCTTCAAAACCCTAAACCCTAAACCCTAAACCCAAAAGGTTCCCCCTAAAACCCGTAGAAACGCTTCAGGCCGGGAACTGGACGGCCATGGTCCAGCGCCGCCCTTGCGCGCACGCGTCGATGCAGGCCTGGGCAGATCTTGGAAGCCTCTCTGCGGCGTAGAGGGCTTAGGGCTTAGGGCTTAGGGCTTAGGGCTTAGGGCTTAGGGCTTAGGGCTTAGGGTTTAGGGTTTAGGGTTTAGGGTTTAGGGTTTAGGGTTTAGGGTTTAGGGGAAATCTGAGAGTGTCTTTTTGCTTCCATTGGATAGACAGCAGGGACGAAATACCCTAAACCCATAGACCTACATGCCATGACGCAAAGCCTGGACCATAAAACTTGCACCTGCAGAACTCAAATACAAATAGACATATACACAGCCGAAGACATAAACATACACACATCGATACAAAAATAAGAAACTTCAATCCCTCAGAATTCAGAAGACTGCATAGCCCTTTCTCAAAAATGACATACCCAAGGTCCTAGACCCCCTAAACCCAAGGGCTTGGGTTTTACAGCAGCTTGCAGTCCAGCGTCGGAGTAGAAGACGACGTCGGGCTGCAGGCGCTCGCCTCATCGCCACAAAAACCCTATACCCTAAGCCCTAAACTCTAAACCCCAAACCCTTAACCCTAAACCGCAGCTAGGCCTCTACCCTAAGCCCCGCAGGACATGCAAGCGCCCTGAACGACTTCGAGCGGAGCGGGCGCATCGCAATCCGGCCCTCCCCCTCAAATAGCCCTGAGCCCAGAAGCCAGCCGCCCTGTTAAGGTTTAGGGTTTGCGAGAACCCTTGCGCGTCAGTTCCGAAACGTGACTTCAGCGCCACTCCTACTTCTGAGGGCGGTGCGAGCCTAACCACAGCACTGTGAATGACACAGCAGCTGCACTAGGGTTTAGGGTTTAGGGCTTAGGGCTTAGGGTTTGGGGTCCGAACCCGAACCCAAGCCCCCCAAAATGCCCGTAACCATGACCTAATCAAGAAATATGCGGAGCCTTGAACTCTAAGTCCTTAACCCCACAATCTCCCCCGCAGACTATACTCATCTGCGCTTGCGCTTTTTGAATTAACAGTCACGCTGAATAAACCCTGATGATGCCTCAAATCCCATCCCGGGAGCCTTCCAAGGCGCGCATGAGGGCCAGCGCCTGCCTCCACTTGCTGCTCCTTGCGCAGGCGCCTCGCAGGTGTTGGGATGATGGGATGTAGAGTTTAGGGCTTTAGGGCTTGAAGGGTTTGCATTGGTTCAGGGGTCGGACAACCGGAACACCCAAACCGGAGACTTCTTCATGGGTTTCGCGTTCAGTTCAAATAACGTGAAGCGCATTTTCACCAAATGCCAAGCGGCCCCTTTTCTTGGTCAATCCCAGTTGAGGGCTTTAGGGCCCTAGGGAAGGGTGAAGCCAAGAGGCTGATGGCAGTGCTGCTTGTCACAAGATCCAGCTGCACGCCCTCGTCCCTCATGACCTCACCAGCTCAGCAAACACTGGAAGAGCGAGGTGACTAGGGTTAGATCTCACATCAGCGGCTGCAGACTTGGCTGTCGCGACCTTCTTGCAGATTGGAGTCGCCCGCAACTCTGTCTACCTACAGTTCAGCAGTAGATACCTCTTATCTCATCTGGTAGCTACAATTTAAGCTGCACAGAGCTACAGGTGGTAGGGCTTTCGGGACAACTCCGAAGCCCTGAGCCGGATCAGGCCCCAGGCGGCCTCCACTGCCGCGAGGGTTTCCGCCCACTGCCGCGCGCGCCCGTGGGCCGCAATGAGGGAACCTTGACTCGCCGATCTGTAGGCTTTCTTGGGTTGTTTTTTTTTTTTTTTTGGGGGGGGGGGGGGGGGGGGGGCTTAAGAAAAAAGATGCCCACCATGTGGCACCCGCAAGTTTGCACAGTCACTTCGTACCCGGTCTTGGGATCACCGAAGTCTACGGAACATGTAGAATACGTGCAAGGTCCTATTTCAACAAGTCGATCCCCAGCTGCCAGTCACCACAAAGATCACCATGAGTTGCAATGAGCATCGTAGAATCTTGCCAAACCCTCAACGGCAAGCTAAAACCCCCTTCGTCGTTGAAGTTCGATTCCTCGGCACCTCTAGAAGCCAAATCGCCAGGGTTTAGGATGTTTGGGCGGGCTTATGGAGAGATACCACGAGTAGACGAGCTCTCAACATTCTCGCCAAGAACGGACAAGGGCTCTTCCCTCACATCTCGCAGAAGGGAGTCATCGATGGAGTCAGGCAACGCATCGTAAGTGATTGGTGCGAAAAGGGCGACTTGGTTGCGCCAACCCCTCGAAACATGGACACCCTGACGATCAGATGGCCAATCTGGGGTCCAGGTTTGTGGTCTTATTGGGTCAGAACCATACGCCGAAACCCTGAAAACCGGAAAGCCTCCAAAATCCTACGTGCTGAGCCGCATTGGCTTCGTGGCTTGGGGCTTCAGGGTCGCCAGTGCCAAATGAACCCTAAACCCTAAACCCTAAACCCTAAACCCTAAACCCCTTATCAAGGCCAAAGAGCCATAGGTCACTGCATCGGCCTGGGAGAAGAAACAGTCCAGGTGTGTAGCTTAGGTGTTTGGAACGGTAAGAAACAGTATTGTTACACAGTTCTCTTGACGACTAGGGGATTCAGAGCTTAGCGTTTAGATTCTGATCCATTTTGGGGCACCAGGACCCTAAATGGCCCTGAACCTGAATCTGTGGTTGCTTTGAGGGCTGGAGCCCGAAAGCCTGCACACCTAATCCCAATAGTCACTACACCTACAAACCCCATGAAAGACTGCAAGCCCAGTTCACCATGCAACACCTTTGCGCTCTAGATCTAAACTCCTAGAACACTGTGAGCCCTAAAAACCTAAAAGGTCTAGATTAGCCCTAAACACGTTTAGCTCATGGTTGGTAAAATATTATGACCTTACATTTATATTCCCTATTGGGTTAAGTACCCTTAATACAAAATGGTACCCAACTATGACAAAGTTCAGCCCTTAGGGTAAGGGCTTCGACCAGGCCTCCTAGAAAAGCTCGTAAACGTGAGTGTTTTCGAACTCAGGAGTCTTGCCTAAACCCTAAACCCCAAACCCCTAAACCCCAAACCCTAAACCCCTAAACCCTCAAGCCTTAAACCCCAAACCCCACACTCTAAACCCAAGCCAAGAGTCCTGCAGTCGCATGCGGGGCAGCTCTTGCACCAGGGCCTGAGCCTGGCCTGCTTCCAGGGAGCTGAGGACGACCTCCGAGCAACACCCAACGAAGTTGTTTTAGGTTTGGGGTTTAGGGTTTGGGATTTAGGGTTTAGGGGCTAAAAGGCTTTGGGTTCAGGGCCGTCTTTGTCTTTGTTGCGGGGGGAGGGGGCGGGGGCAGCATATAGTTCTATACTGTATGTCGGTCGCTGCCTCGGCTTGCGTATTAGGGCTTTGACTACGTTATAGGGTTGACGTTTCAGGGTTTGGGTGCCCCGTTTTGGGTTCCGGGGGTTAGGGCTCCTTTTTGATGGCGTTTACCGGGGTGGCTCCCTAGATGCAAACAGGCCCCTAAACTAAAATACCTGAGCTCTATAAGCTCTAAACCCTAGCTTTGGTTCATAAAGGGGCCGCCAGGTGTAGGATTTTCGAAGGCCAGCGTCGACAAATGAACTTAGAATTGAAAGCCTTCACGGGCTCGCGGCTTTGGGTCGAGGGTTGGCGTATAAGGATTCAGGGTTTGGGGTTAGAAAAGGAATTGTGGTCCCTTGTTCGGGTGTAGTTCAATGAGATATGGGGGGGACAAGATTTGCGCTTGTTAGCCTCTGCAGTGTGGGGCTGGAAAAACTTTAGACTTGGGCTTAGGGTTGTGGGACGTTGGATTTTAGAGAGTTCTGATCTGCTGCTGGAGATCGGTACTTGCGCTTCGGGATGCACCATGAGATAAGAACACCAGCTTCAACCTCACTTGGCCAGCCTAAGCGTTTTGCATTCTACAAGGGTTCAACTTCAGGTCGGGGGGAGGGCGGGGGTGCAGAGGGGATGTGATACACACCACTCTGCAACACAGAACCCTGGAAACCCCTAAGCTCTGAGGCAAGTGACGTTGCAGGCGATGACATTGGGGCTCGGCCCACTGTGCTGCATCTCGTGCAGTTGCCATAGGGCCTCCTTCAGGGATGTTCCATTGCTCTTGGCATCTAAGAAGCCGTAAACGAAGCGGAACCCTAAACCCTAAACCTATGGTTGATCCGGGGGCCAAGAGTCAAAAACCAAAGGCTGCACCCTCCCTCCCCTCCTTGGAAACAAGAAAACAGAGGCTTGCTTAACCCTAAACCTTTAAACCCTCATCAACACGGTTGACTTCATGCTAGGGCTCCTGATGAAATACAAGCTTTCTTCTGTCTTGGGGCTCCTCATTGAAGAGGCTTATCTGGGTATTCGGTACTCCCAAAATAGGGGTACCCCTTCTATACCCCAAATAGGATGGAATCTCCTATTTTCGGCAACCCCCATATTACAAGCCTGTCCTGCCACTGCCCACTTCCGCGCAGCCGGCATAGGCGCTGGATGCAGTCCTTGCAAATAAGCAGGAACCTCCCGATTGGAACCCCTGCCTTGCATGAGACTGTATATGGGCAGTATGAGGATAACTTTTTTGGAGGGGGCTGTGATGTTAACTATGGGCCCCTTCTGGTAACCCTGCACTATAGGGAACATGCTAGCATTCAAGTCAGCAAAATCCTGGACCCTGAAGATGAGATTTCGTGCGGGCAAGTAGCCAAGTAGCCCTCCAAACCCGAGAAACCTCATTAAGCCCGAAAGACACCGAAAACCACTATAAACCCCTGTAAGCCCTAGAAACCCTGAATCCCATGTCGGCCTAGATATCCACATGTTTGTTGCGGAGACTAAGGATTTTAGTGGAAGGAAGCTCTAGAAAAGGGCGAAATGCCCTGAACTTTGCCCACCTCTTTTCCCTGCCTATCCGCCAACAGCCCTAAATCCCAGGCCCGAAAAAAGAAACACGGTGTCCCGAAGCCCGCGCTCGGCGTGCGCGGCCAGCGGCGTGGCCGAGCGGAGGCGCATGAAGGGTCATGCTGGAGCCCCGAACCCCCAGGCCCAAAGGTTTGCTGGGTTGGCATTTAACCTTCTGAAACATCTTCCCAAAACATGACCCATCTATAAAGCAACTTACAAGCATACTATATATAAACTATCCCAAAGGCCTACCCAGGTTGAAGGCTTAGGCTTTCAAGGTTTAGGTTCTTAACCCTGAACCGAGAACTCCAAGCAGCCGTGGATGACCCTAAACCCGTAACCCCTGAACCCACACAGCTTGAGGCAAAAGAGCAGGAGGTTGTTAGGGCTTGGACTTGAGACTTCAGAGGGTGCTGAGGAGAGTTTTGGAGGTTGGGGCTTTGAGCTTTGTGGTCAGAGATCAGGATCGAGTCGAATTTCCAGACCCACAGCCCCAAACCCTGAAACCTAGACCTAAACCTTAGAAGCCCTAAGCTCTCAAACCTGCGCTCAAACTTAAACAACAAACCCTCAACCCTCAAACCTTAACCCTAACACCAAAAAATTAAGACCCAAAGCCTCCTCAACCCTACTTGGAGGTTCATGGGTATTTATAAGTAGGTGTGTTTAGGGTTTAAGTTTGGGGTTTAGGGCTTTCGAAATTCCAAGGGCTTTTGTGGGTTCCAAGGTTCGAAGTCGGTCTGGGATACAGGACAGCCCAGCCGCTCCGCCCATCAAAGCTTCTCGGGCCACCCCCCACCGGACTACAGCGCCTTCGAAAGATGAGGGCAGAGATAGTAGTCCTGCAGGGGTCGGCGCAGAAACTCCCAACAAAATGGGTTTAGGCTTGAGGGTGGGACTAAAAGATGCCAATTGCTCTCATCTAAGCAGTAAGCCCAGCATGTCGAGCCACAACACAAGTGTCATTACACATCTTCTGCGGCCCATTAGAATTTCAACCAACTAGAACATGCACGTGGTGTCCAAATATAGTCTCAAGACTCCCGGCGAGAACAGAACACACACACACACACACACACAGAGAAACCAAAAAAAAACGAAACCCCATAAACGCCTAAACGTCGAAAACCCCCGTTCCCAAGCTCTGCCATGCCCTGAACACTACCGACCGAGGCTTGAAACATGCAGCCAGGGCCGAGGGCATCAGGCGAAAAATAAAAGATATCAGATACACATACCTGGAATACTCATTTAATACAATTTAATACTGAATAGCTTTCTTTAACCATACCTGCATACTGGTGCTGATGATTTGAACGAAACTGCTTGAGACTCATACTTCTTGCCCAACTCTGCCTCAGCGTATACTGCGAACTGCTTCGATTCATGCTTCAGGGTTTAGCGTCATCCCTAGGAGGATTAAGGGCTTAAGGTTTAGGGGCTCCTAGAACCCTAATACCCTTTTAGGGCTTAGGGTTTGGGGTTCCTAGAACCCTAAGACCCTAAACCGCGAAGTTGTCCTCAGGTTGCGGCTGCATCGCCGTGCACGAAGCCAAGATCGGCTCGGCCTCGCAAACGGCTTGGCAGGACACCTCGGCCACGACGATCGCCCCTCGACCCCGGCTTTGAGGAGTCATGAGGATTTTGGGTTTGGGGTTTTGACTGGGATTTCGGGTTTAGGAGTTCGGGTTTAGGATTTGGGGTTCGGTCAGGCTTAAGCTTAAGGATAGTCTTGAGAGTTCAAGGCTTTCTGGCTAACACGCCGATGGGACCCCGCTTGCCCCCTTCCCCCTCCGCGCCCCCTATGTGTACAAAAATCCTATACCCTAAACCCTGAACCCTTCTTGGGTACAGAATCGTAAGCACAAGGCCCCGACTTTCAGCAACCCGCGCCGGGGACCATTGTAGGGAGAGCGGTGCATGTAGGAAGTCTTCCAAAAATTTGGGTACCCCTAAAATACCCCAAAATTAAAGAGGATTAGATGATCCTTTTTGCACCCCCCCAAAAAAAAATAATGACAAAAAACAAATAAATAAACCAAATCTCCATGCCTTCGTGAGTGCATTTGCGCTTTACGGGCTTAATTAGGGGGGCTCCGGGGTTTAAATTGGCTGAACATAACGTTAAGGGTTTAGGGTTCTGGGTTTTCCCCCATCAAGGCCCCTCAGCGTCCATGGAAGCAAGGAAGTCTCCACTTGAACCGCCCTTTACGTACGCGTCCACCAACTTTTCAGCCACACATACTGAGATCACGAACCTCTGAGCGCCAGAACAAGCCCGAAACCCTAAACCCTGAACCCGACATCGCCCCAGCACTCTAAAGCCCTTCATGGGTTTACCCCCCCCCCAAGCTCCACTTCGGGGCTCGGCAGGGTTACCTCCATCACGGCAGGCGTTCCCAGCGTAGTAACACCTGGGCGGCTACTCTGCTGAAGAGCTGAAGGCCCCAAACTCCGGGATCAAGTAGGATGGTCTGCTTGAGAATTTGGGGTTTGGGGTTTAAGCTGAAAGCGTAGGCCCAGAGCCTCATGCCGTGAAGGAGTGGATGACACGAACCAAAGCAGCTTGAGGGTGTCAGGGTGGTAGGGTTGATAGATGCTAAAAAAGGTTCAGGGTGCTCCCTGTAGGAACACCTTTAACTTTGAGGAAAGCCCCGGCTTTTCAGATCAGGATTAACAGGCCTCCAAAGTAGGACCTTAGGAAGCGAGGGTTTAAAGGGCTCAAAAGGGTGTAAGCGCTCAGGTTGGGGTCTATGGAGTTTGCAGGGCGTTTAGGGGCTTCTCAGGTTTATGGGCATTTCATGGCATTTCATTGTAGGGTTTGTATGCTTGGGGCTGGTTTCGGGTCGAGGATGTAGGACCCAACAAGGAAGCTAGGGCTCCGGGAACCCTATGAACCTACAAACCTATGAGCCCTATAACCCTCGTTAACCCTATACACCCTATTAGAAGCAACATGGACTTCTGAATTGTGGGCCCTGACCCCTCGGTCAGCATGCAGGTGTAGAAGACGCGGCGGTGCTGGCACCTGAACCGAGCAAGCTGCGACCGAAGGGTTTAGGGCTGAGTTTTGGGGACTTGGGGTCCCGGGGGGGGGGGGGCTCGGTGCTGTTGCTTTTGACGGTCTTAAGAAGCTATAGGAGAAACTCACTCCTTTCATTGCATAATGGGGCTTATGGGGCAGACGGCAACAACGCATACCGCTGGCTTGCTGGATATCGTGGGCCCCACTGCTCCCCAAAACCCTGAACCAAGTTGGCCCCTTAAATTCCTCTTAACAATATTCCTGAACATGACCCTCTTAAACCCAACCCGCAACCCTAAACCCTAAACCCTGAACCGCAGACATGATATCTCCCAAGGTCCCAACCCAGTGAACCTTAAACCGGGCAGCCGCGCTGGGGAGCTCCTGTGGCGATGGAGATCTTCTCCACCTCGCGGAAGTGACCGCGTCGGGTCTGTAGGGTCTAGGGGGGTTTAGGGTTTAGGGGTTCAGGGGTTTAGGACACCTCAACCTTGAACCTGACAGCAATCCGGGGGTAGATGGACTTCGGGACGGAGCCTCAAACTAGCGATAGCTGGCTGGGGTTGAGAGTCTTCATGGTTTACGGTTTGAGGTTTAGGGTCGAGGGAGGGGCTTAAGGATTACGATCTTGCCAAGTCAAAGCTTCGAATGGGCAACAAACCAGCGCTGCCAGGAGAGACAACAGCTGCAACTCAGGTGAGACAGATCCTACACTAGACCCAGGAGTAACCTGGGAATAAACAGGGTACCTTGTTTGGTTTTGAGGGATTACAAGGGAACCCCAACCCTAAAAACAGGAAATAAGGGCCTACTCCGGGTCCTAGTACGCCATCAACCCTGCATCTCAAACCGTAAATGTGCCGTAAAACCCCCAGGCCCCAGCACGAAGCTGGTGACCACATTTTGACCAGAGCCGCCCGCGAGTCTCTGCCGAGGCCGTGCAGGCTGGCAGAAGAGAGGCGAGCGAAGTGCAGGGAGTCAAGGCTGAAAGTCTGTACATGGGGCCTAGTCCGATTCAACCTTGAAAGACCCCAAGCGCGCTGGAAGGTTGTTCTTGCGATTTAGGTTGCAGGATTATCGGTAGACGCGCCTGGGACCTCAAAAGTTCAGGGCACAGCTTCCTTCTACTCAGACGCACAGACATTTGAAGCAACAATGTAGCTTACTCAATCCAATGAAGAAGTCCTGACTCGAAGCATCTGCACGCGCGCGTGACGAAGCTGTGCACATTGAAACCACAAAATTTGCTCAGCGTAGACGCAGCACTAGGTGAAGAGTCGACTCCTTCTGGATGTTATAGTCTGACAGCGTGCGGCCGTCTTCTAACTGCTTGCCTGCGAAGATCAGGCGCTGCTGATCCGGCGGGATACCCTCCTTGTCCTGGATCTTTGCCTTCACGTTATCAATCGTGTCTGAGGCCTCAACATCCAGAGTGATGGTCTTACCCGTCAGCGTCTTCACGAAGATCTGCATGCCACCGCGGAGGCGCAGCACCAGGTGAAGAGTCGACTCTTTCTGGATGTTGTAGTCTGACAGCGTGCGGCCGTCTTCTAACTGCTTGCCTGCGAAGATCAGGCGCTGCTGATCCGGCGGGATACCCTCCTTGTCCTGGATCTTTGCCTTCACGTTATCAATCGTGTCTGAGGCCTCAACATCCAGGGTGATGGTCTTGCCCGTCAGCGTCTTCACGAAGATCTGCATGCCACCGCGGAGGCGCAGCACCAGGTGAAGAGTCGACTCCTTCTGGATGTTGTAGTCTGACAGCGTGCGGCCGTCTTCCAACTGCTTGCCTGCGAAGATCAGGCGCTGCTGATCCGGCGGGATACCCTCCTTATCTTGGATCTTCGCCTTCACGTTGTCAATCGTGTCTGAGGCCTCAACATCCAAGGTGATGGTCTTGCCCGTAAGCGTCTTCACGAAGATCTGCATGCCACCGCGGAGGCGCAGTACCAGGTGAAGCGTCGACTCCTTCTGGATGTTGTAGTCTGACAGCGTGCGGCCGTCTTCCAACTGCTTGCCTGCGAAGATCAGGCGCTGCTGATCCGGCGGGATACCCTCCTTATCTTGGATCTTCGCCTTCACG